AATTTCGTCACAGGGCCCATCGCCATCAGCTGATGTCACGGATGTTTAATCTCGATACCAAATACTCCTATACATAAACTTTTTTTAATACAACAATTATTAATTTATTTCATTGACAAACAAAATCAGTAAAAAATTAAAAAACCGAAAGATTATGTTGTTTTGATAGTTTTGATTTTATTTAACATATGTTATATGTGTTAGAAACAAATCATAGGTACTAGGTAGAAGCTTTGTTGAAGTTTCCGTTGTCGATAGGTAGCGCCTTATGGAAGTTTCCGGTGCCGATAAAAATCGGACACATGCCATAAAGCGGCTAGCAAAGCTAACCGCTTAAAAAGATTACTTCTAGTCTCTTGCATTACGTTTATTTATCCGTTTTCCTTGTCTCACAAAAGACAAACTGCTTTTCTTCAACAAGAGGGATAACTCAACAAATAATTTGGTTTCCAGATTGTGCAAATTTCAGTTAGCATGGTGTAAAAATTTAAATATAAGGGATCTATCGGGATATAAATACGGGTTGGTCACGAGATTAAATTCCAGCTTTATGATGAATTTGATCTCGTACCAACCCTTATTTATAGCTAGATAGATGTTTTAAAATGATACCTTATTACTTATATTTACATTTGTGACTTATTCATACTTTATATTTGCCTGATTCTGACGTGTGAAATACATTATTTTTCAAACCTAACAGCATGTATGTAATCCACTGAATGCGCGTCGACCCTTTATGACGTCACTGAGAAATTAAGTTGAACATTTATCCATACGCACATCTATGACCTCCTGACCCTGTACCGGTATTTATACAGTTATAGATATGCATTGCTTTCAGCGGTATTATACAAAATGTATAAAGGAAAGCATTTGAAAATGTAACGAGATGTTTGTGAAACACTTATGCCCCCCTCCCCCCAAATTGGATTTTTTCTAAGTCCAAAAGGGCATAACTCTGTCTAAAATCGTGCAATCCTACCCAAAATAGAACTTGACCTATATATACAGCTGAAAAATCTGTATTACTAAATTTCATTTCAATATGTGCAACCTCTGAAAAGAAAATGAACGGAAACTGCAAATAAGTGGAATTTTTCTAAGTCCAAGGGGCATAACTCTGTCTAAAATGGTGCGATCGCACCCAAAACAGATCTTGACCTAGATATTCAGCTGAAAAATCTGTATACTAAATTTCATTTCAATATGTGCAACCTCTGCAAAGAAAATGAAAGGAAACTGCAATTAAGTGGAATTTTTCTAAGTCCAAGGGGCATAACTCTGTCAAAAATGGTGCGATCACACCCAAAACTAAACTTGACCTAGATATTTACCTGATAAACCTGTATACCAAATTTCATTTCAGTATGTGCAATGGTTGTGAAGAAAATGAACGGAAACTAAATGGATCCGACATACCGACAGACAGCAGCAAAGCAATATGCTCTCCCTTCTTCGAAGGGGGGCATAAATATATGCATAATATAATACAGTACCTAAGTCACAAAAATTAGTTGTCATGGATAGATTTCACACTTACATCAGGATTAAAGTTATCGCAACAATAGTTGGTTTACAGTAAATAAAGACCTTCCAAGTATTACCCACTATATTCAACCAATTGTGTAAGATTTAATGTCAATAATTTGCATTTTGCAGCAGAATGTTAACCTGCTCCCATCTTAAAAATATTTAAATAATTATGAATTGTGAAATCGTAAATATTTCAAGACACAGGAGTTTACTGATTTGAATAAATATATTATTGTTTAAGAAGCAGTGGAATAAAGTTACAAAGTTGGTACAAGAAGTATTAAATAAAAACATGCTGGTTCAAATATTTCAATCGTGTATAAAATATGTAGATCACTTCACATACTAGATTCTTCCAAATAAATGAGATAAATTTTAGTATAGCTTTAGATGATCTACATAACTTTTGCATGAAACAATAAAAATATATTTACATTTGTTGGGAGCTTTGTTTGATGCCAAGAACAGCATTCCATGTAAGAAGTTTATACACTCTGGAACATATCTTTTTGATAAGGATACATACTGCAATTGAAATGATAAATGTACAGTTAAACTCTGGTATATCCGAAATCAATATCTTGAATACCATGTGTGAATTGAATGTCCTAATCACTTTTTCATGTTTGTTTATTAACTTCCACTTTTCATATTCTTTGATATCTGGTAGTTATTTTGCTGACCCTAAGACTTAGAAAATGAAAAGTTTTACTGAATAAATCAGAAAGACATCTTCATGTTGTTTGTTTTAGTATAATGTCTTTTACAATAAATTTCGTTTAAATAAAATACAAAACTAAGCTCTGTAATACTGATTACCTCCAGCACCAGGCTACACAGAAACAGACCCACAGCTACATCCCTCTCATGTTTCACTGAAGTCTGGAAAAAATGGACAGCAACTTTATCACCAAAACTAGTCATTTACAAGGAATAAAATACTTAATTTTTTCAATATCCAAAGCAATTATCTATTATCTGGAACTGTTTTGCATTTCATGAATATATCACAAATACCCAGTACAATTGTAGGTACCTAATTATTTTTTACTCTGTATGCTTGCATTGATTAAATTTTTCCAAGCATATCATAGCACACAGATTTCATCAAGAATTTCTATATATTATGTCTATCTGAAATTGACGAAAAGCAGTTATCCTGTAGAAAACCCACCTCTGCCAGCATTTGTGTGATAAAGACAATAGCTGGAGTGGTGACAGCGTGACGGAAATCTGAGGTCGGGAACAGAATGGACACCAGTTTAAGGAGCATCAGCTGTATAAAAGTAAGAGAATATATGTAGAAGATGGGTATCACTTATTAGTTAGAATTTTTAATTAGAATATAATTTTTTTTTCAATTTAGTCTCCCGCCAAATATCAACAGGAAAATGTCCTTCCCATCAGGTGCTTCTAGTTTGGTATGGGGACGGATATGGGGAGTTTTTTGGTGTGAATCGCATACATCCTGGGTATTGAACATTTTCTTTATTACATTCCTTGATTTCTTGTGATAATTTGAGTGTAGAGCGCATACATCCGGCTAATTAAACAATCGCTTGGCTCAGGGATTAGAATGTCTGCTCTAGAGTTGTGAGGTAAAGAGTCGATCCTTACGTCGTTGGTTTGGATTGCACTGAGGGACACCTAATAAACCCATGGTAACAATATTTCATATATTGAAGCAGCTCTGAATCAAGACCTTTTTCAAATACAAAACTGGTGTCAACAAAATCAGATGATATTGAATACGGACAAAACTAAGAGTATGTTAATGGGAACACATCAAAAGAAATCAAAATTAGAAAACGCTAATCTTCATTTACAACTTTCTGGCCAACCCCTTGAAAATGTTACAACAGAGAAATTATAAGGTGTTCACATTGATCATAATCTTCAATTTACTAGTCATGTAGATGCAGTTTGCAAAACTCTTGCATATAAATTATTTACTCTACGAAAAATTAAGAAGTTCCTTCCATTGCATACTAGAAAGCTATTTTATAACGCATTTATTTTACCGTCAATTTTATATTGTCTATCTATTTGGGGTAACTCTCCTCAAACTCACATCGATAGAATATACAAACTTCAAAAACGAGCATACCATTATTTTAAATGAAAAATACGATGCACCTTCAATGCCCTTGTTTAACATATTAGGCTGGTTAACAGTTCATGAACTTCTATATTTACAAAAAAGCATTATATGTTCAAAACATTCCATGGTATGTCTCCTGATTATATGCATGATTTTTTTGAATTTCAAAGTTGTGGATCATACACGCTACGCTCACAGACAATTTCAGAACTTCGTTTACCAAAATTTAAAACTAATTTATTTAAAAATTCTTTGCAATATTCAGGGGTTATTATATGGAATGAGTTGCCTATTAGTATAAGGAATTCCCAATCCCTTTCAATATTTAAAAGTAGGGTAGAACATTTTTTACTTATGAAACGTTCTTCATGAAAAAAAAAAAGTTTTCATTCCTCTGAACTTATAATGAAACGAAAGTGTTTAATTTATTCTAGTGTAACATAATGTGTGTTTATATCTTATTGTTCCATGTTTGTGATTATTAGGGTCTTCCGTCTTCAGCGGAAGACCCTTCATTATTCTTCGGTTTCTTTTTCACTTTTATTATTATTATTATTAGGGTCTTCCGTCTTCAGCGGAAGACCCTTCTATTATTCTTCGGTTTCTTTTTCACTTTTATTATTATTATTATTATTATTATTATTCTTTTTTCTCCTTACCGATTTTGTGCAGAAGATTTCTCGGAGATGGCTCGATCGATTTGGTTCAAATTTTCGGTGTTATGTGTTTCTATCTAAGTTTGTACCCGCGCTTCCATTTTGAAAAAATCACTTCCGGTCAAGTTATCGCCCTTTGATCAAAATTTAGGTGACCTCCATGTCTGTGATGGAACTCAAAAACGGTTCAAGCTAGAAAGTAAATTTTCAGGGATGGTAGAGGACATGTTGCCATATTGCACCTGGGTCAGGGTATTTCCCGGAAGTGCCCAGTATGGAACGTTTGGGGTCAAATTTTAGGACACGAATCATACCGATTTTTTGAGACATTTCGCATCATATCTTTTAAAGTATAAATATTTTGTTAAATCATACTGAACATCATTTGTGCAGAACATCAAACTTTATATGATACCACAAAAAAAGTGCTGACTCATCATATTAAGGGCTAAAAAAGGGGGCCCGAAGTCTTTAATGATAGCTCTTAAAAATTATTTTGTTATATATTACTGAACAAAAAATGTTTATCTCAGAAATCTACAACTATATATAATGATTTTTATGTCGTATGGTACATAATTAGGGGCCATAAGGGGCCAGAATGCTAAATCTTTAATGCTTTATATGTCTAAAGTAAGAAAAATTTTGATAAGCAATATTGAACAAAAGATGTTCAAAATAATATTCTGAACAAATGCAACCTTTCATTTTTTGCTAAACGTCCCCATTAAAGTTGAAGGGTTGGCCCCAAAAAAATTTTTTTTGCTAATAGCTCAAAAAATAAAAAGAATTTCTAAAGTTGTTGAACAAAAAATGTTCAAATTCTTAAGATCTTTAAGATAGATCCCGAAAAAAGGGGGTGGGCACTCGAATTAAGGGCCAAGAGGGGCCAAAAATCTTTTTTCATAACTCTTTATCCGTTAATATTTTGTAATACATTACTAAGAAAAATGTTTATCTCAACCATTACAATATATATTATGGTTTTTATGTCGATGGTACATAATTAGGGGCCACAAGGGGCCAGAATGCAAATCTTTGCTGCTTTATCTCAAAAGGGGGGAAAAATTTTGATAAGCAATATTAACAAAAGATGTTCAAAATAATGTTCTAACAATAGCAACCTTTCATTTTTTGCTAAACGTCCCCATTAAGGAGTTGAAGGGTTGGCCCCTAAATATTTCTTTTGCAAAGCTCAAAAAAGAAAAAGAATTTCTGAATAGTTGTTGAACAAAAAATGTTCAAATTCATAAGATCTTTAAGATGATATCCCAAAAAGGGGCTGGGCACTCGAATTAAGGGCCAAGAGGGGCCAAAAGTCTTTTTTCGATAACTCTTTATCCGTTAATATTTTGTAATACATTACTGAAGCAAAAATGTTTATTAACCATTAACTAAAAAATTAGGGTTTTTATGTCGGGACATAAATTTGGGGAAAAGGGGGCCAAAAGCTAAATCTTTGAGCTTTATATCTCAAAAGGGAGAAAAATTTTATAAGCAATATTGAAAAAAAGATGTTCAAAATAATGTTCTGAACAATATGCAACCTTTATTTTTTTTAAAAGTTCCCCTTAAGGATTGGGGTTGGGCCCCAAAATTTCTTTTGCTAATAGCTCAAAAACTTTTTAAAAGTTGTTGAACAAAAAATGTTCAAATTCATAAGATCTTTAAAAGATATCCCAAAAAAAGGGGGTGGGCACTAAAAAGGGCCAAAAGGGGGCCCAAAAATCTTTTTTATAACTCTTTATCCGTTAATATTTTGAAACATTACTAAGCAAAAAAGTTTACTAACCATCTACAACTATATATTATGGTTTTTATGTCGATGGGAATAATTAGGGGCCACAAGGGGCCAGAATGCTAAATCTTTGAGCTTTATATCTCAAAAAAAGGGGAAATATTTTGATAACAATATTGAACAAAAGATGTTCAAAATAATGTTCTGAACAATATGCAACCTTTCATGTTTTGCTAAACGTCCCTATTAAGGAGTTGAAGGGTTGGAAACTAAAACTTTTTTAAAGCTCAAAAAAGAAAAAAATTTCTGAAAGTTGTTGAACAACAAATGTTCAAAATCTTAAGATCTTTAAGATAGACCGAAAAAAGGGGTGGGACTCAATTAAGGGCCAAAAAGGGGGCCCAAAATTTCAATATAACTCTTTTTTTCCCTTAATATTTTGTAATTCAATACTGAAGCAAAGATGTTTATCTCAACCATTTACAACTATATATTATGATTTTCATGTCGTATGGAACATAATTAGGGGCCATAAGGGGCCAGAATGCTCAATCTTTGACGCTTTATATCACGAACGTCAGAAACATTTTGATAAGCAATATTGAACAAAAAATGTTCAAAATAATGTTCTGAACAATATGCAACTTTTCATTTTTCCTTAAACGTCCCCATTAAGGAGTTCAAGGATTGGTCCCTAAATATTTCTTTTGCTAATATCTAAACGAAAAAAAATTTTGAAAAGTTATTGAACAAAAAATGTTCAAAATCTTAAGAGCTTTAAGATGATATGAATAAAAAGGACCGATTCCTAAAATTGGGGTCCGTTAGGGGCAAAAGGTCGATTTTTTAAGTCTTTAATGTTCAATGTCTTTTTACAGATTATGGTAAATTATTATTTTAGAATGAAAATCGCAATCAAAATCTTATCTCATCTAATCAAGAAATTTGGACCAAACCCACTCGGTCGCAACGAGATCGTATCTAGTTATTATTATTATTCTTTTTTTCCTTACCGATTTTGTGCAGAAGATTTTTCGGAGATGGCTCGATCATTTGGCAAAATTTTTGGGGTTGAGGTTTCATCCGAATTTGTACCCGCGCTTCGATTTTAAAAAAATCATTCCGGTGGAAATTATGCCCTTTGATCAAAATTTAGGTGACCTCCATGTCTGGATGGAACTCAAAAACGGTTAAGCTAAAAGCTGAAATTTTCAGGGATGGGAGAGGACATGTTGCCATATTGCACCTGGGTCAGGATATTTTCCGGAAATGCCCAGTATGGGGGCTCGTTAGGGGTCAAAATTTAGGACACGAACATGACCGATTTTTTGAGACATTTCCCTCATATCTTTTAAAGTATAAATATTTTGTTAAAGCATACTGAACATCATTTGTGCAAACATCAAAATCTTTCAATTATACCAAGAAAAAAGTGCTTACTCATCATATTAAGGGTAAAAAGGGGGAAAGTCTTTATATAGCTCTTAAACAGTCAATATTTTGTTATATATTACTGAACCAAAAATGTTTATCTCTACAATTACAATATATATAATGATTTTTTTGTCGTATGGTACATAATTAGGGGCCACAAGGGGCCAAAATGCAAAATTTTTGACACTTTATATCTCGAAAGGGAGAAATATTTTTATAAGCAATATTAAAAAAAGATGTTCAAAAAAAATTCTGAAAATATGAATTTTATTTTTTGCAAATCCCCCTTAAGGAGTTGAAGGGTTGGCCCCCAAAATTTTTTTGCTAAATAGCTCAAAAACG